CTACTGGATGTTGCTGTTTTGCCTCTTACAATCTAGATTTTGCATCCTCTCTACCAAACCTCTGAAAGATATCTGCAGGCCTGGACGACTGATTTGAGATGTGCATTTTTCTTGGAGATACGAATCTATTTTCAGTGCCCAGAAGAAGCGTTAGGAAACGCTTTCCTTTCCCAGAGATAGGAAAGTCAGTGATGGGACTGGGGATTTGATGATCTTGTAGAGAAACAGAAAATTAAGATGTGTCCCAAATATTTCATAGTTTGGCCAGCAAATCAGCCACCTTGCACTGTGTGCATGCAAAAGGCTCTTTTCTCCACCAAAGGGCAAGAAAGTTTCAGCAGGTACTTACCACTTAGTCCACTGAGGAAGACACAGGACACTATTTCAAATGCAGAGGGAAAATTCACCCTACATGTTTCAGCAGAAAATGTGATACATGTCTGTGGGTGTTGAACACTAGCTTTCTGAATTTTGTTTCATCCCATATTGCCCCTCTGCCCTGAAATCCATTCCCTTGGGCTCCCAGATTTCCTTCAGCCAACTCATTAGTAAGGAACACTGGGGAGGTTCTGGCTCCACCTTGCCCCATGGCATGGTAGGCTATTTTCATTTTCAGAATCTTCTGTTGCTGTGGGCACAAGACTGATCTTGGTGATGGTCTGATGCTGTCTTTAGTGCTAATGCTGGACATTGGAAACCTGCCTGTCTCCAACTGAATAGGCTTTGTATCCTTTTTTCTAAACAGAGCATTACTGCAGCATATAGCAAACATGAAGGAAAAACTGTGGATGAGGCCAAGATTGCCTTCCTGAAAATGATACACCGCTGGCCAACATTTGGATCAGCCTTCTTTGAGGTGAAGGTAGGTTTAAAGGCCTGTATGAATGGCTTTGGTAGTAGACCAGCATTGGGGGATATGGACTGGCTATAATTCCGTATCTGTGTAGTGAGAATGCATTGTAAAGCTGGCTTCCCATCATCTACCGAGGAAAACTCAGTTCCTTGGAAGTGGGGAGATGGGTTGGGTTTTTTTATCCCTTCTGAACTATGCCTGTTATTTACTGGCTATGTTGTTGTTGCAGTTGTAATACTTAATATTACAACTATGTAGTAGATGGGGTCTTTTACTTATATAGATACTTAACTGTCCTGTCATTGTTCTCCACTACAAAATGCTGCCAAATCTTGTATCTCTGGGAACTCTTCCCTCAGAACAGAACTGTACTAGTGCTCTCATTCTGTAGTGGATAGCTCCAGGAATCATATCCCACTTGCTACCTTTAATTTATCCTCACTAGGCTCTTAACTGGTTTGCAGCCAACCATTAAGCCTATTATCAGATAGCCTAGGAAATAACGGACCTGATTCTGCTTTTATGTAGCAGCTGCTCAAGTCATCAATATATGGCTAAAAGAGTCATCCTTAGCAATAGTTACATAATATTGAACAGCTTTATGTTTCAGTGTTTATTTGGTAAAGAGAACAAGCAGCACTGGACACTGTTAAAGGTCACTATGCACCTGATACAGATCATTTCTTCATTTTCTGCTTATCTTGCTCTGTTACTCGTTTATAGCAAACCTCGGAGCCAAATTTCCCAGAGATTGTGCTGATTGCAATCAACAAGCAAGGAGTCTCACTGATACATCAGAAGACAAAGGTAACAGTTGCTTCTCAAGAATCTATCTAAGGAAGGATTTAATTGACCGTGCTAATTTAGGGACAGCAACAGGACCTTCTCCCTGAATGCTAGATGATACAGTTCCTCTGTTCATTTTCTGTGTGAAACCAAGAAAATGTTATTGCCTCAAATCACTTCTTTGCAGTTTCTACATTGGAAAGGAAACAGTGTAGAGCATCTCTGAAAAAAGAAGTGGTAATCGTGATGGACCTGGGCAAAGTGCTAAGATTAGGCAGATAGATGGACAGTGCACTAGGGAACCTGCTTCAGAAAAATGCTTTGCAGGAAACCCAAGCTGTCTAAAAGATCAGGCTGAATGACAGTGTTTACCAGCTCTCTAACCCAAACAGTCTGGTCTTACCAAGTTCCCAGGCAAAAGCATTTATAAATATCACTATTTGCTTTTAAATAAGAAAACAAATATCCAGTGAGTTTTAGATTATTGTAAATATAATGGCAGGGTGTTAAGGCAAAGATCAATATATAATGAAAAGAAGTCTCATTAGAGCGATGAAGACTCACCTGCTTGGTGAAAATACAATATACCACTAGCCTGGATGCAAGACCTACCTTGATCCACTGTGTTTATAAATGAAGTGGGAAAGAAAAAGAATGCTCTGGCTCTACAAGTTTTCTTACGTAACAGCCCATTTTAATTTCAGAAATGTTCTATAGTTCAGTTTGTTTCCCCTTACAGGATATTTTAACAGTCTACCCCTTCAATAAAATCTCCAACTGGAGCAGTGGGAGCACATACTTTCACATGACAATAGGGAACCTGGTACGAGGAAGCCGGATCTTATGTGAGACATCTCTGGTAAGAAGAGTTTTGTCAACTTATACACAAGAAAATCCTAATTTTTCCTTTACATTGCTACAAAACAATGGTGCCAAAACAGATGTTAAAACCAGTGCAGATACAAAAAGCATTCACTGCTATGTCAATAAAATTGCCGTTTAGAATTGGTTCAGTGCTATATAATGCCATCTGATGCAAAGACGTAAACCACAGAGACAAGAAAAAATAGTAATTTCCCAAATTCTTGCCATACATCAAAATTCCACCTATCCGAGACATTAAGAAAAGACTGCACTTACCCACAAAACTACGTAAGAGGCTTTTTGTCTTGCATGGTTTGATCCATCTATGCAGTACTGCCATCCTTGTAAGATTTTACACTTTTCAGTGAGCGGTACCACCTTTTTAAGAATTGGTTTCAGATTGTCCACAGACTCAGACAAGCATCACTGTATTGATATTTAAAGGTAAATTTGTAAAGATAACATAAAAACATTTCAGGGCTAACTTCTCTCACAGAAAAGCTTGGATTCCTAAGTACAAGATGTCAATCTATAGAACGAATGACAAGGAGACAGTAGAGCTATGCTCTGTAAAGTTTTGTAAATCTATGAAGGGAAGAGCAGATGGAGGAATAGATAAATAATTATCAAAACAGTGATAGCTGTTGGAAGCAGAGATGTCCATGCAGGGAAGAATCTAAGAAGAAGATAAAACAGGGAGGAAATGATAGTTATTTTTGCTTCTGGAGCTCTTTGAGAGACTTAAGACTTTTTTCTTTTCTGACAGGGTTACAAAATGGATGACCTGTTAACATCCTATGTACGCCTGCTAATGAATGCTGTAAACAAGCAAAAGAACCTCCCAGCCTGAGAGCGGAAATAGAACCCATGACCTATATCTGTGCCAAACTACCTGTAATTTCATCTCCCAAAAGAAATGCCATTTAAAAAATATCAATCTTGATGATCAGTCTTCTGATCACACACTGAATGAACTGTGTTGCTGAAATATTACCACAAGAGAAGCTCAAGTGAGCATGTGCTTTCAAGTATCTGTAACACTTGTCTGTCTCAGATGTAGTACAAGAATTCCATTCAGATTTTGGATTTAGAGAAAGTTTAGCTGGATTTTAATGTAATATGGGGGCGGAAGAATCCTAATATGACAGCCTCTTCTGATACTCTAAATCTCCATTCTTAAAGAGAGACACAAATTAATAGTTGTCTTCCTTTGGAAAGAAAATGTCCCCTTGCTGTATATGCTCTTACCAAATGCATAAACTCCTTGAGTCTTTGCAAACAAAGGTAATGTTATTTTTTTCCTCCTACTGGAAATTCTAACAGTGGAGAAATGCCCTTTAGTAGTAGGATAACTGGACACCTTAAAAGGTAAGATGCTGGGTTTCATCCTTTTATCACTAGATTATGTGCTGCAAGTTACAGTAGACTATGACAGCCAATTACTGTCAGAATATAACTGTCATTCCTGTGTGCTGCTAAATTAGCAGGCTGTCCACTGGTTTACCATTGCCTTGGTTAAATTAAATAATTTTCTTTCTTCCACACTTTATAATGCACTTGGAAACTAACAACTGCTTTCTACTATGCAGTTTCTAGTAAGCATAAACAAACTCTGAAATGAGACTGGATTTTGGGTCCATTACTTTTACTCAGTTGCTTCTATTTCAAGTTATGGATGTGCTATTCAGTGCAAATCAGAATCGAAGAACTCGGTCTAACAGACATCTATTGAAAAGACACTTTTCTGCTCTATAAAAATGTTCTCAGCTTGGAGTTATGCAGACATTCATTCATGAGACAAGAATACTAGCTTTAGTTTCTCGTAATCTTTTCTATTTCCTGTTTAGCGGGCACTTTGAGTGCTAAAATTTGATTCAGCACTTGTTCATCTCTCAGACCTTTGTAAACACACAACTTTGGTCCTACAGGAACCAGAGTGTGCTCAGAGTGTGTAAAGCATATATGCACTGTGGTGGTAGTAAGCCTAGATGCTTACCCCATCAGAGAACAAGTACTCCTTCCTCAATGATGAGCCCTCCCTTCCTCACAGTGAAACATGGACATGTCTTAAAGCATTTACACCAAGTTCCTTGAGACACGATCTGGCAGTGCTAGAAAAGCAGCTCTGCTAGATCTCTCAAATTTGCCAATGTATGCACAATGATTCTCTTGTTCCCTCAGATGTGGTGTGTGAAATTCAAACGTTAATGGGAGTTTTGTACATGGGTGGCAGGGAAGAGCCCCACTCTCTTTGTGCATCTAAATGAGTGCCACACTTGTCAGAATAGTTGATCCTTTTGCATGCAATTAGATATTCAATGTCCATTGCTGGCAATGGAAACATCTGAGTTTTAGTTGTTTTGTCATCCTATGTCTGATCTAACTGGCTGTAAGTGAGAAGCATTCAATACTTCACCTGTACAAAAAGAAATTTTGCAGCCAAACTGTATTGTTTCTGGTTCTTAAATAAACACTGCAGAAAATCAACCACAGTGTCTAACAAGAAAATTGAATATTCGCTCTAATTCATGTAACCTAAACCTACCAAACTTCCACCACAGCCTGTAAATGATCATAGCATCCCATCTACTCATCATATACACAACACAATTTGTACAGCACAGCCTCTAAAAGGATGATACCCCTTTCTGCACATCCTCATCAACCAACACATCACCATAGAAGCAGCACAGATCCAAAATGTGAATTCACAACAGTGCATCAGATTTGGGCAATCCCCAGAGTTCCTCAGTGCCTAATGCTCTCTGGCTCAGCATTGCAAATGTGATTTTTTTTTTTTTTACTGTATAATATACAACTTTTTTACATTTGTTTTTTGTGTGAAGATTTAAAATGTATTACAGTTAACTTTATTACAGGAACATAAAAAGGTACAGTGTTACAAGATTTCAATCCACAATCACTTTTTGGTTAGACAGCAAAAGCAATGTGTGATAAAATCAGAGCTCCACACGGTGCAGAATCCACACTGCTCATCAAGGCCTGAACCAAGGCAAGTAGCTGCTAATTCTTTTACTCAGTCTATACAATCCTCAGCACTTAATAGTGCTTTACAGACTCATACAACCGCATTTATTACATGTTTGGCTGAAATTTATTCCTGCGCCATCCAACCACTTCTTAGAAAAGCGTCAGTCACATCATCTAATACAAAACATGCAACATCTGGAAACTCTCTGTACAGAAGGTTGAAAAACATTTGCCTACATTGCACAAACTGTAAAAATAAAGACCAGGATGACCTAGAGAGCAGATTAGGTTGCCATAAAGAAAGATTGCAAGTGATTAACATAGCCTTTGAATACAAACAAGCTTCACATACTGTGGTTTCTAAAAGCAAAACCATTTTCAAGTGTACTCAGTGAATATTAGTGATTTTAATTCAGTATGTATAAATATGAATGTAAACTATAAATGTATATAATGAGACAGCCGCTTTTAGTAAGTGTAGACTTCTGAGCCAAGTTCAACCTTGCTATAAATCTATACTCTCCAGTGGTGTGATACCTAGGATGAATTTGGCCAGCATGTCTATTTACAGCAATGGAAAAAAGCATGCAGCTTATTTCTGACTGAGACCTTGACTTTTTTCTAACAAACAAACAAACAAACAAACAAACAAACAAAAACCAACCTGTCAGCCTATCAACACACTAAGGAGAATTCATAAGTCTGCATTATATTCTATGTAGTTTTAAAAATGTGGACTCAAAGATGTAGAGGAAGATGCATTTATTTAAACTATTTATAGTTATTTCTCTTACTCCTTCAATTCCACTGCCCCACAAAAGGTATGTCAGTAGTATTCACTACTGTAACTCTGCACATTGCAGGCTATGGGCAGCAGGAGTATAAGAAAAATAATTGTGAAAAATTAATAATTTAAGAGATACTAAGAGAACATCACCCTCCACTAATATAGAGATCAGGGATTATGATGACTTTTTTCCCACACTGATTTTGGTAAATGCTCTGAAGATAAGGACATAATCCAAATCCTAGAGAACTGAACAGCTTATCAAAGAGAATGATATCAACTGTCCTTTGAACACTGAAGCTTACTAGGTGTACTGAATTTCTAACATGAGACAAAGTGAGAGCACACACTAAATCTCTACTTGCAGTACAAAAGTAATTCCATTCACCTCTACATACATGCATTTTCCATTGCTGAACTTGAGAGTGGCCACTGAAAGAGTATTACCTATTGCCTGCTAGTTACATAGTCTTTCTATATTTACCAGTAGCTATGCAGCTGTGTGTTCCTCCAGCATCTTCCCAGGAGGCTGAAGATACACAGCTGCTCAGATTTAGCATTAGACATGGCCTGTGACTAAGATTATAGGAACAGACCTGAATGCTTTATGCTGAGAAGAATCTGTATAACATACTGAACTGCACCTAGATCAGTAGTTCTTCTGTTTTATGCTGTGAAAAAAATGCCAAAGAATAGGCTTACGAGACGGGTCTTTGCAGTGGCCACGTACTACTGCACCAAAAGACATGCTGCTCTTTATGCCCTTAACTAAAAGACCATTTAAAGGCTGGTGAGAGAACAGTGACTAGCCATGTGTTCTCCTAAAGCAGTGACAAAAGCAGCTACTATTACTGTAATCTACAGAGCATATTGGTCAGAAGAGGATGGCAGAGTTCTACTGTTAAAATCAGGCCTACCCCCTCATCAGTGTTATAGTGGATGCAGTATACCCCAGTTAAGTTTATGGTAACTTACAGCAACAAAAAGCAAAGCAGGTGAAGGAAATTGAATTAGCAAAGCCAGTAAGTATCCAAGAGACGGTCTTGCACGTGGGATTCTTATCTGCACACAGTTAACCAGGATTTCCCACCACTGCTGTGATATCACTGGTGCAGTTTCATGGGTAGTAGCTACAGCAAGCATGTTAACAGCTGTCAATGCTTTAGCTATTATCTTGTTTAGATCCGTTCTGAGCAGAGTGTGATGGCAGTGAGGACAATTTTAAGGTAGATTATTGCCCCAATCCAGTTGCTGCTCACACATACAAGAAGTGAGGAAGCTTTAACTTCTTGCTAGCTAATTCACCTGGGGCTGCAGGGTGGTGCCTAGGCTCAACTGCTGTGTTCATTTGACCTACTAAACCAGCCACTTTTTGGAATATTTAAATCATGCAAGGGGCAGCAAGTCCTCCAGTGCCTTGCATCCTGTCCACCTTGCAAAAGGGCAGGCACAGTCTCCAACCATTCAGGGAAAGGGATTTTCAGGCTGCTCAGCTTAGTTCAGCACAAGAAACTATGGGGGACACCTCCAGAGGTCTCAGAAGCTCACCGTGATTATACAACACACAGGTGGACTCAGGAACAGCACTTGTTGATGGCTCACCCCTGAAGAAATATCGAGAATGTTCAAAACCAGTAAATTTCTCAGCACCTTGGGTTGTACTAGCAGAGACAGTAGGACCAGTGAAACTTCACCAATGACAGGCAAAAATACAGAGCAGAACTATATGCTTAAGACGTACAGATTCACGTCTGAGGTCCTCTCTTTAAGTAAACTCGGGTCTTAAGAAGAAAGGTGATCGGAAACTCTTATTTGGGTGAAAATTTTATGAAAAATACTTCCTGGGTTTTTTCTGCATAAGACCACATTTGCTACAAACTGTAAATATTAGAAACCCTTTCATGTAATTGGGCTTTCTGGAGCATGACCAACAAGCGTATACTCATCTTTCAAATAAAGTGAGAAGGACGGGGAAACTGAAGCACTTAAATTGGTACCATATTATCAATTTGATTTCATCATGCAAAAGAATAACCAAGGCTCCAGCCACATTACCTCAAGAAATGTCAGCTATGCCAGTGGATAGGACATGCTTTGTGTTGCCCACTAGAATCTCTAGTACCCATGTAGTAGTAGAGAACAAACTGAGAAAATTATAGTGTCAGTTTCTAACAAAATCTTTCATTTCCCATAGCCACCTCCTCCTTAAGGAGAGACCAACTATTCTGAAGAGGCTGACATGGCCTTGACAATTGAAATCTCCTTAGTACTGAACAGGGAAGAAGCAAAGCAAAATTCTTCAGCTGTCTTAACATTGGACCTAAGCCAGACAAGCGGGGAGTACAGATGCCAGAACTATTGGTTCCTGGGCTTTCCCAGTAAACCTGCAAACCAGAAGGACTGTACAGCATTTGTGTATGCTCAGTAGGAATCTGGAGAAAGACCAGAACATTTTGCATGTAGCAAAGAGTGACAGCTTTCAGAATATTTGCCCACATATTAAAAAAATTTAAAATGTTATCACCCAGGGTAAGAAGAGAGATTTTTATACTTTAACTGACAAAGAGCAAATCACACATTTCTTCCACCCCTACACTCAACCACTGTTTCCAAATTCCTTATACTATAGAGGAATGGAGAGAGAACTACAGTTCAATTGAGGAAGGAAAGACTGTGTACAATTCCACAAAGGCAGAATAAGTTGTTATTAGCAAATTAATAACCAGCCTGTAAACTGCTCAAGCAGAAATCGTATTCCTCTTTCTGGCAGTGTTAATAGACAATTGCTTGAGAAAAGGGATAGTCAAGATGCAAGCTACATTACTAGAAGCAAGGGAAGGTACTACTTATCTTTGGTTTCACTTGTTCTTAGTAATTGCCTCTGTAACCAACAGCTGCTCTGAGCAGCAGCTTATGACTGTAAGAGTGCAGTCAGTAGACTGACAGACCTGTTTAAGCAGAGTTTAAATCCAGAGCTTTGGGATGTGCCTTCTTAGATGCCAGCTCTGACAACTTCTTCAGGCGTTTCTTCAGCTCCAGAGGGAATTTCTCATAGCACTTCTTGCATACAGGCTTCATGTCAAACTCCACAAACTTATTCCTTTAACACAAAGAACAGCGGGCTATTAAAATGGTATTTGCAAACTATATGCTTCACTAAATCAAGTTTCCATGCATCTACGTAAATGCTGTTGTTTGTGTTCTACTGCACGTATAAAACAACTCACTTCCTCGTCTGGTCATGTAAGTACAGAGACGGGGTTCTTATGAGGGAACTACGGTCTTTAGTATTGCTAGTTAAATAAGGAGCAAGATTTTGCTACATATTTTTATGTAACAGTCTAGAACAATAATGTTGTTATCGTAGAATGGGAGTGTCACTTCAAAGGTCCTCTTTGTGATGAATGAGAGCTCCTTCATATATAAGGCCAGTGGGGCCAACTCGGCATAGTAGGATAAGGGTTTGAACCCGAGAAAGGAAAAACGTAGGATTGGTTTGTTTTCTGTCCCTCTTCTACACATTTGAGGTAACTAGCATAATGTTTTCTTTTGAAATAATCTACACAACTGCAAATACTGTCACTGAGGGAAGCATCCAGACTAAGGAGACATGGAGGCTGCAGGTATTTCAGGACAGGCAGTTACTCAAAGTTTACAGCCTTCCCTCTGTACTGCTGAATGAGTTCTCCTCTTACCCAATCTCCTTACAGAATAGATTAATGAAGGAAAATAGAGAGGATGCTGAGTCCCAGCTCCCTTTTAGTTCTGAAATCAGTGGAATTATAAGCACCTGCTCCCACAGAGAAAAGGTATATTGCCCCTCAAGAGAGGCACTGGCTCATGGCTCCCCCAAGCTGATACCCTGCCTTAGGGGCAAATGTCTCCTATGGTCCGAAATATAAACACTGACTTACTTCAGTGTAAGCTTGATGTTGCAGGTGGAGCAGGAGAAGCAATTCACACACCAGGCCTTGTTAAGAGCTGATACCACTGCAAAAGCAAAAGCACGAAATAAGAGGAAACTGCCGGATTATTTGAATTCAGATTTGTATCCAAATTCAAATGAGGCCAGATGTGAAAAGAAACACTGGTGCCTTGCAACTGTGGGACTGCAACAGCTGCACTAACAAATGGAACAAGGACAGCAACCCAAAACAAGGAGAGAACAAATCTTACCATCTCCCTCTATCACGTGGCTGCAGTTGTAGCAGACATCTCCAAAGAGCTACACAGCAAAAGAAATAAGAACAGGAACTCATGTTACTGACTACTCATGCTCCCCAAATTACACAGCTGGTGTCAACTTTAAATCCTAACAATGAAAGAATTCCCAGACATTGCAGTAGCCCCCAAATATACCAATTTAAATCTTCTGAATAACTTCTCATACACTTGCCAAATAGTCTATGGTGCTTTGGATCTCATACCACTAAATACTACAAAACCTTTTTTGTTGATGCCTCACACTCTACCACTGTTATGTGATCTTAAAGTCCTATACATGTGACAATTTGGAGAAAAGAGGATCGGTAGAGTATGATGCTTACTGTAGACAAACATCTCCTGATGCTTAACTGTAAACATCAAAATAAAACCTAGAGCTACTCTCAAAACAATAACATCTCTTATGAGAGAAACAGACTAATTTATCTGACAGAAGAAAATACCAAACTCATAGCTGTTCAGTAGAGCCATACAGAAAAAACAGGTTTTGATTGGCTTTTGAAACATACTTTTCTTACACTTCAGACAGCTCAACATTTATCTTAGGCCCATGGAAGCAAGTAATTATCAAAGAAGTCCACACAAATAGTTTTGGAGTGGAATTACACGGATTTTAATCACAACCCATGGTCTGTTTTTTTCTGTCAATGGCACAAAGGAAAATCAATATCCCTAAGGCATTCTATTCTGTTCTCGGCATCACTTTTCACATCTTCCAAGGAAAACTATTTTTTCTGTTAAATCTCACTAATTTCTTAATATTGCATTGCCTCTACAAATTCATGTTATGCAAAATCTGCATAGCTTTGGATATGTAAAATGCAAAAAAGCATTTGCCAGTCAGAGCAAGTACCTACAGTATAGAAGGCAGAATTTACCTGGTTATAGTGAGTTTCACAATAAGCCAGTCCTTTTTTCTCATAGTGTCGGTGCCCCAAGAATGGCTTCTCACATTTGGCACAAACAAAATGCTGTAAAAGAAAGAAAGACATTCAGTGGCAGGCAAAGCGACTTTTCCATCACCAGGGAAAAACTTGCATGGCTACAAATCATGGCTCAATATGAGACAATCATAGAATCACAGAATGGTTTGGGTTGGAAGGAACCTTAAAGATCATCTAGTTCCATCCCTGCTGCCATGGGCAGGGACACCTTCCACTGGACCAGGTGGCTCAAAGCCCCATCCAACCTGGCCTTGAACACTTCCAGGGAGGGGCATCCACCACCTCTCTGGGCAACCTGTTCCAGTGTCTCACCACTCTCACAGTAAAGAGTTTCTTCCCAATATTTCATCTAAATCTACCCTCTTTCAGTTTAAAACTGTTACCCCTTAATGCTTTAATGAAACTCGGACAGGAAAATCTTCCTGGAAGTAAAAGAGGAAATATTTAGTCTACTATAGTAATTAAGAATGGTATTAAAGATAGGTAGAAGACCTGCTGAAAGGGCAATCATCTTGTGTCTATACTGATAGACTTGTGCACTATTATCTTGCTTGTTTCAGAGAAGAGAAACAGGAACATAAAACATGGTTGGTATGAATGCACTTCAATGAGCAGCAGCACCTCTCTCAGTTCAAGCCCTACGAGGCTTAAATCACTAAAAACATAAATCACTAAAAAAACTTCAGAGCAAGCTGTGACGACTCAGCTGAAAGTTAGAGAAAGAATGAGCTGAAAAGGCTTAAAAAGCAAGAATTGCACTGGCTCTGCCTACATTACAAATTCTAACACTGTTATGAACCTGTCAGCTGGGGTTGGAGAGTATACATCTAAGTACATCATAGTAAATATGTACATTTATTAGTTAGTAAATGCTGTTCAGTGAACCCTATTCTGCAAGAATCTTTATAATGCAACTCAGGCATTTTAAAATTAAGGTTATCACTGTTGTGAAAGCATAGCTTGCTTAGGCAACCCTGATGACCCTGCTGTACTCATTCACTCACATAAGGTGAAGACAATCTGAAACATAAGCAATTGTTTTTTGTCTGAAATCATGTATTACAGATCACGTAAATGTCTACAGCTTCCAACTAGCACTAGTCCTCTTCCAAAATGGCTCCTGAAGTTTCAGATTCAGAGAGGCCTGACCTCAACATGCCACTGCTTTCCCAGAGCGTTGACCACTCGTCCCTCAATGGGCCTGCGGCAGGCTCCACAGATGGGGATTCCCATCTTGTCGTGGCAGGGCAGACAATACAGTTCTCCCTTCAGTTCCCGGGCCTCAGCAGTCAGCTCCTTCCTGAAAACACAAACATGTCCCTGAAGCAAGAACACCAAGTAAAGGCCTTTAATGCCTGAGACAAAGTTTTGGAAGACCAAACTTGAAAGTTAACATACTTTGGCAACATTCATGCTACAAATGCAGAGTCATTAAATTAAGCTAGTGAAATACAGTTATTGTCAACTCATCTTTCTAAAACTGCTTTCTCAGTTTGCCAGACAAGCAAACATACGTGGAGTATCATGTCTTTGGCTAGATACTCTAGCAGAAATATGAGGTGCACTTACATGGAACAATGCAGCGTCATGCAAAGACTCCAGCTATCTTTGAATGGGATAGCTCAGGTACAAGGACCATCCTAGTAGTGCTCAGCCCTGAGCCATTTACTTTATTCTTCAGCGCTGTTACCCATTCTAGGGCAGTACTGTGCTCCAATTATACTGCCTTCATGGTAAGTAATTCAGGTCAGACAGGTATCAGCACGGTAATGGACTGTGCCAGAAGACTGAAACAAGTCACCAAGAAATCTTTTTTTTCTATCCAGGAATGCAAAGTGAAACTATTCTGAATAGCCTGGCAACAGCTATCTTTGGACAACACTATTATCGTAATCTGCACACAGCCTTTCAGGTGAGTTCATACTGAACTATGAACTATTACTATGAACTATTACTATTACATACATGAACTATTTTCATTTTCAGTATAAAATAGTGTTATTCAAGTTTAGGATAAAAGAACATTGAATGGTAAAATAAAACTAAAGTTCCTGTAGGCTTTCCAAATTTCTTTCGATTTCTCCTCACGCAATTTCTGTTTGTTCAACAATGTGAAGGCAGCAAAGCTTAGGCCTTGGAAAGGACTGCACTGCTGACTGTACTGTTTGTCTCTCTCCTTTTTTGTCAGAGTTTACAATATGAGAACATACCCACAGTGGGTGCAGTTGAAGTGATCCGGATGGTAGGAATCATTCCTAAACATAAGAGGCTGTTCATCAATTATCAAGTGGCACTTCTGACAGATGTACTTGCCCAGACCCTTAGCTTTTTCACGGTTATGGCATGGCCTGCACAGATGCCTGGTTGAACAAAGTAAAGAAAAGAAAAGATTAAGAAATTCTTTCTCTTAAATTAACGTACAGTGCATGCTGTAGGATGTACTTTTAGGAGAAGTGTCTTCCGAGGTCTGACTAAACATCATTTAGTTTAGTATCCTGTCTTTCACACCAGTTGCACAGAAAAGAATACGTGGATAGAGAAGTCACTGAGTTGTATTTCCCTAGAATACTCCTCCAACATTCACTGATTTATACCCCATCAGGGATATCACCCTGTCATTCTTCTAGGTATCCTTTCCAGTTCTTCTAGATCCTTTTTGAGAGGTGGACAAGGAAAGGTGGCAACACCCTCTCTCTATTACTAACTGTGGGATCCAGCAATAACAGAGGCATTACAGCACTGGGAGGGAGTTGAGAAGAGAGAATAAAAAAATATTAAACCAAAGCACGTTGCTCGAATGCCTTTACCATGGCTGGATTCCTTACTGTTCAATAGCTAAGACAAACAAGAGACCATTGAATACTAGCTCTTCTGGCCTACAAATTCCTTTCACTCTTAAGTTAAAGAAAATAAAGAACTGTGCAATTTTGCAATTTTATGTGACACATGTAACTGTTCTAGAACATATTACAAGTACAGTCCTGAACAGGTAGATAAGCCAAATTTCTGGTAGAAAAGCCTGGGCAAAGGCATAAAAAACTTCTGTAAAGGCTGATGAAATCCACCAGTTTTATCCCAATATTTAGGCACTCTAAGGAGGAGCTGTTCAGTTTACTTGCCTATTACCTACCCCTCTAGCTGCAATGCTGCAGGCTGGGAAGAATTTATGATAAAACGAAAATGACAGAGGAATGACTTCTGTGGGTTTCTTTGTCACAAAACAGCCTGCGTAATTCCTTTCACTATATCACTATGTGAAACACTCGCTGAGATTTACAGGTCATTCTCAAAAGACACCAGACAAAAGGAAAAGTTCAAATGGAAAGGGTAGATTTATGGCTGAAGTAGTGGGTTCTTTGCAGGGCCCCTTCCAAAATTCTGCTGTGATGAATCACTTACCCTTAGATCTGTAAAATGGGGATAAGAATACAACACAGATGTTGTTGTGAGACCTCAAACATTTATGACCCTCAGCTGGCAGGCGCCTGTCTAAGTGCTAAGTATCATTATTATTCTCTCCAAATCGGAGTCCTCCTGTCAGCAAGTGTCTCTTTCCAGGGCTGGAACTACTGTCTGCCCAGACGGAGTCCAGAAAAAGCAGACAGCACCCCATTATAAAGAAACATGCAGCTGTGCTCATCTCAGCATAAAGGCATCAATTTTATTCGGCACTGTCAAATGCAGAGTAATTATACGGGGCAGGACATAGGGACCCTGAAGCAAGTGTCCTGAAAGAGACCCCTCTCATTCAGCTGAATAAGATGCCTTCAGCCATTTGGACTGATAAACCATTATCAACCCCTCCCCACTCACAAACCCTCTCTGCCGTCCCATAGACCCTCCTCTATTGCAAGCAAAGGGAAGTGTTGGACAGGCTAAGCTGTTACCATAGCAGCCGCCCCTCTCCCTCTCCCCCTCCCCACTCCCACCATTATGGAATTATCCCATTCTGAAATGTCCTGTTGTGTCTATTAATACCAGACTTTCCCCAAACAATGCCTCTCTCCACCCTCCTAAAATAATCAGGGGACTCCAAGAAGTCTGTGTTCACGGCTAGGAGTTCAGTAGCAGCCTTCAGTAAGCACCATGAACACTGGAATATTCATACAGTATATTCATATCTGTAACAGCAGCAGCAACCCCAGTGCCAAGAGCTCAGCTGGGATGAAGGCTGCTCTTCAGTGCTGGGGTGTCCTCTCCCCTGCTCTGTTGTGTGACTGAGCTGATAATGCGCTATCAGAGCTAGAAGGACACTATATAGAGGGGCTGCCGTCTCCACCCTCAGCAACTCTGCCACTGTGTGCTCTTTTTGGATCATCTTGTTGTTTTCACTGTTGCTGCTTCTATTTGGTTTGCTGTCATCAGAAGGAGTTCCTTGAGATTTTCCCCAAAAGGACCCTATACTCCACCCATAGGACTGCACTGTAAAGAGGTAAGAGACAAACTTCTATTAGCAGAATAATGAAGGAGCTTTCCTAATGGCATTAGTTTTAGCTGGTGTCAGTGAGGTGGAAAGACACACACAGAGGTGGATGAATATAATGGAAATGTTTGAAACTAAGAACAGACAGCATTTTTTGAATTTCAAAGAATAGTTTCCTCACTCTTCTTCACATCACTCCTCCAAAATATAAAAGTTTGCAAACTTCTCTACCTAATGTACATCCATTTGTGCCAGGAAAACTGACAGTTGTATGGTATGTCCAGTGCGCTCTGGCACTGCTTTGATGCTCACAAGAAACAAGTATTTCAGCTGAAGGGTGGGAGGCTCAGCAGGGAGTGATTTTCAGGAGAATAATTTCAGTCAGAAGTGGACTATTTCTAATGAAGAGTACTTTCAGTGAAAGATAGGGGACGCTCCCATTTGACAAGACACTACAACCGTAATCATAAAAACCCACAAACTAGCATAATCCCAAATCAGAAACTGCTCTAGCTGAGAGGAAGAACAGGAATTTCCGATATCCACTACAAACCCTAACATACAGTTCAAATTTATCTGCAGTGGGCATTATAACAAAAGCTCCAAATTAGCCAGGTAACTTACAATGAGCTAAGTATTTCTTCTGCTTATTTATTGTTTCATTAATGATAGATAGAGCATCTGCTGAAAGTGTAATCAGGTTGTGTCTATACTGACAGCCTTGTGGATTGTTATTTTGCTTGTTTCTGAGCAGAAGAGAAACAGGGCATAAAATATGGTCAGTCTGCATGCATTTCAAATGAGCAATGACATCCCCATTACGGCTCAGCCCTGGGAGGCCTGGGATAATGGCTCATTCCAGAATAGTGCTCTGGTTAGCAATATGTAAACACTAAATATTCGCACAACACCAAGAGTGCAATCCAAGCAGACATTATTGGACAATGATCCAGACTCCTAAAGGAGTTTACTGTCTGTGTAGTCAAAGCCTCTTGCACCATATAGCTTAACACAAACTACACATTCTAGGTAATTTGGGAAGGTTTCTAGTTAGCTCTTAGCATTCATACAGACTAATACCACAAACTTCCTAGGACTTCGAGTGCTTTTTTGTAAGCATAACAAACCAAAAAGAAAGAAAAAACTAAAAATTAAACACATTTATTTTAAATTGATAGGATAAAAACAGGCAAAATAGAAGTGGAACTGTAAATAACAGCAAAGGGCTTTCCACACTGTCTACAGAACACACTGTCAAAGAACTATTACTCCTGTAAAGTTGTAGCATTTTGATGGAAACATATCAATTCTAAAAATAAGCTCAACAATTAATTCTAGTGACGTCAGCTTTTTTCCTAACCTACTCAAGTGCTACACCACAATTTTCACGTCAACAAACAGAATTGTAAAAAAAAAAAAACAAAAAAACAAAACTTGATTAAAATTCCCTTCTGATTTAAAACCTAAGCAAAATTAGGAAGAGGCCCACTTCCCTTTTCTATGATTTCTGACCAGGCAATGAAAAATACCTCCCTTCACCTTGCTCTAAAAAGTAAATTAGGTAACAGCAGCTCTTCTATGAAGGCACTCATTTGAAAAGACTGAATCTATTTCAATTTTATCATCAGTTCTAAGCCTCTCCCTTTCTGACACTGACATACTGGGCTTCTAGATAGCTCTGACATTCTCCTTTCTACTCCACCCCACAGTATTTTGCAGTGAAAGCATGTCCAGATAGAAATCAACAGCAGACTCAACGCTGCCATCAGTGAGGACAAAACTCTCAACTTTTAAATCTTGGCTATTCCAAGTCTGGCACTGACACTCAGCTGTATCCAAATCCCAAAGATCCTCCTTAGGAAATCAGCTCAAATAGAATCAGTTCAATGTATCATGCTGCTAAACCCCTAGTATTTAGCTTGCAAACAGGGAAAAAGTCTGCTTACCGCTTTGCCTCCTGAACTCATTTAAATCATTATCATTAAGACAAGAGACATCCCTGTCTGTTCCATTAGACAACCCTTGCTTCTGCCTTTTCAGCTGGTCCAAGCCAGCATTTGCTGCTTTTTCAGTGCTGTCACAACCAGGTATAGAGTAATACTTAGCCATCAGACCACCCGATCACTGACAGGTGTGTATATAAAGATCACCTGATGACATTTTTTGCAGATGAAAAGCATATTTAAACAAAGTGCCTGACACAAAAAAAGGCTACATAGCCAGAACATCAGGTGATAGGTACCACTGCAAATTAACAGCCAGTAAAAAGGCATGGTCTTATCATATTTCTCCTTTGGTATGCAATAGAAAAATACATATTTAAGCTAATTCCATCCAGCAAGTATAAGTATTTGAGCATTCAACATTACTATCTCATACAAACTTCAAAATCTTGTGTTCAAAAGTACTTGCAGGTTTTACTTTGTAAGGGACAAATAAACACTAGAAACAAAAACTGCGGGCTCCTCTGCAAATCCAGGGAATTCACACGAAAACCGCAACAGGGAATTTTCCTTTTGTACATGAAAACAAGATTTCACATGTATTTTAATAGATAAAATGTCCCTTGGAAAAAAGGGCTGTACAGTCTTCCTTGCACATGCACTTCTAGTAATTCCAAGATAATAATTTGTTGCCATCTCTAGGACTACAAAGAAGCATGCAGCTGGCAGTAGGCAACGAGTACCCATACACTCAAACCTAGAGTCTTTTTTGTGCCATAAACATGCAGGGAATCTAGGCAACGCACAGAGTAAGAAGGCCCCTCTGTGGCCATATGAAGCAATTTCAGTTTCTGAATTTCATTCAGTCTTCCTTCTGTCGACTTTTGTCTCTTCAACTGTGAACTGAAGTGGTCCAGCATATTAATCTCTAGCTATTGTAGTTTTCTGTCCAGCTGAAAGTGACAGCAGCCAAACAAAAGATGGTCATTACCTTGGAATTTTGTTTACATTTTCCAATATATTGGTCTGTTCTTAATCCCATTTCAGTTTCTTCATTAGCCACCAATATTTTTAGACATCTGAATAATCAGTTCTGTTGGGAAGCTGGATGCATTGCACAATGCCTTGGATCAACTGTCTAATGATGTAAGATTTCAGCATATCACATAGCTTCTGCCCGAGACTAAAAATTTTGACTAACAATGTCAGCAGCCATCTTAAAATTTTAATCTCAGTAGAGGAAAATTGATGTATTTAAAGATGTATTGAATATTATGGTCAATCAGTACAAAATGCAATGGTGAGCACAATGGAAGTACTGCTGCACATACTGTAACACCTCTGAGGAATCCAAGAAACAGAGACAATGTTGGAAACTCAGACTGCCTGCACTTCCCTACCACCTATACCCACAGATGAGTAATGTATAAAAAGCCATGGGTAGGTGCCCAGAAAATCTTATCACTTTTTGTTGATGCTGTTCACGACCCTGCAGACAACAGAGAGACTGGCAAAGCTAAGCTCAGTTTTACTAAGCTGTTACTTGGAAAAGGCCCTGCATAAGCTACAGTGGAGTTCAAGCTTTTGAGGGAGGAAGAGAGACAGTTATGCTGGGAGAAGAAGAAAGCTGCAGGGAAGGATGACACTGACAAGTAACTGACAGCATGGGCATTATTAATAATCTTTTCTGAGTCAGTTCAGTGCTTTTTGCTGTTCAAATGAGATGCTGCTACCCATCTGAAAAGTTTCCTCCCATATTGGAACTAGATGCATTTGCCTTAAATACAGGACTTCAGACTAAAACAATTCTCAAAGGTTTTCAGGAACCTTGCGGTTTTTCTAATAACAGCAATACCTGACCTGTCTTCCATCTCTTCTAGGAACAAGACAGATATTCTAAGCTAGGTCACCTTACGACAGATACCTGTGCTCAGAAAAGCTGACTCGTTATGAGCTCTTCAGTCCTGAATCAGGCTTTCAAATTAAACACAGCAAGTACTTTCTAGCTAGACATACAGAACCCACTTCTACTCTTCCATTAACTAGACACATAAGCATTTCACTACTCTGTTACTCAACTGATCTCAGCACAGGTTGGAGACAAGCTCATAATCAGCTAGCTAGCTCTTTATAGTGGTTCCTTCAACAGGAATTAATGGTCTGGAAAACCCAGCCAAGCAGGAGGTGTTCAGAATTTTAATATAAGGGTTTAAACTCTCACTGACCTGTTGTATTAAATACCAGTATTAGCAAACAGGAGACATCACTGATTTCCATGTGTCATTTTTTGGATGGGTTTTTTGTGTTTGGTTTTTTTTTTCTTCACAAAACCAGGCTCTTTTGTAACATACTGTCTCAATTCTTTCAGGTTTTGGGGGATTTTTTTCTTCAAAACTGTGGTGAAAAATGAATGGCCCAGCAGATCCCTCAAGCCTACTCTTCAATTGCTCAAATCAATCAAATTTCTCTTTGGAAACGTCAGAGCGATGTGGTAAAGAGACACACCTCGAGAACATCTTTTTTGCCACTTTCTACTTCATGGACTTCATCCTGGCTTTTGTTGGCAATGCCCTGGCTCTTTGGCTCTTCATCCGGGATCAAAAGTCAGGCACACCTGCCAACATCTTCCTGATGCATCTTGCTGTGGCTGACCTGTCCTTTGTGCTGGTACTTCCCACCCGGCTGGTGTACCATTTTTCTGGTAATCATTGGCCATTTGGTGAGCTCCCATGCAGACTCACTGGCTTCCTTTTTTACCTCAACATGTATGCCAGTATCTACTTCCTCATGTGTATCAGTGTCGACCGTTTCCTAGCCATTGTGCACCCTGTGAAGTCCATCAAGCTCCGCAGGTCCCTTTATGCCCATTTAGCGTGTGCCTTTCTGTGGGTTATAGTTGGGGTTGCAATGGCACCTCTGCTGCTCAGTGTGCAGACAGTCGAGATGAAAAACACAACCGTCTGCCTGCAGCTCTACAGAGAAAAGGCATCACGTCATGCCCTTGTGTCCTTAGCAGTGGCATTCACCTTCCCATTTGTTACTACAGTGACTTGCTACTTACTAATCATCCGAAGCCTGAAGAGTGGGAACAGAGTTGAGAAACACCTGAAGGAAAAAGCTATCAAAATGATCATCATGGTCCTGATGATCTTTCTGATTTGCTTTGTACCTTATCATGTCAATCGCTACATTTACATTCTCCATTACAATGGGACCAAAACTTCCTGTGAAACACAGCGTATTCTAGCCCTCAGTAACCGCATCACTTCCTGCCTCACGAGTCTAAATGGTGCCTTTGACCCAGTCATGTATTTTTTTGTAGCTGAGAAATTCCGTGAGGCTTTGTGCAATCTGTTTTGTGTTAAAAAGACTGTCATGTTACCTCAAACATATGAGGGTAAGACAAATGAAAGCTCACTAAGTGCTAAATCTGAACTGTGAACATGACTCCTGTCAGTGCTTCGACTTAAGAACACTCTATTCCACCAAAATCAGCTGAGAGCGCAAGTATGCAGCGAGATAGTCCACCCAGAGTCAAACTCATCCCGAGGAGGGAAGTTCTGTTGTTTTTATGGGACTGAAATTAGCAAGAACCCCTCTGACAACAGAGATCACATGTTCTTGTCTTACTGAAACTGCAAACAGAAGTACAGTTCTACTGATTTCCAAGATGCAAAACTGAGGTCTGAACACTTAGGAATAAGGAAGGAAACAGAGGCTATTAAACAGACACTTAAAAAACAAACTTAATTCCCAAAGCATTCCATAACGACTCTTCCTCTGCACAATGCATACAGCCTACTTTAAAATTTTATATTGTGTCAGCAATAGAGATCCACTCCTGAAATAGACCTGCCGGCTGAAAAGACAGCATGCTTGCACATCTTGTTCAAGTCTCCGAATTCAAAGAGTTTATACATAGTAGACAGAAAATTGGTACTAAATGGTGGCAAGAAAAAAAGACCAAAATGCTGCAATGCACCCAACCTGGACTGGAATTAAGATAGGACTTACAATTTTTTTTACTTCTTCCCAGCATTCAGAGCTGGAGATGAGCACTAAACTTCACACTACCTTTTCTATCTGTCCTACCTTTTCTATCTGCCCTCTGCCATTGTCTCAAAGCTGCAGGCAGAGGTTGGACAACATTTACTACACTTCCTCTTTTATGTCATTCCCTGCAAAACATCAGATATCCTGATAACCCTCAAACTAAAGAGTGGAAAAGGGCTGTTTAGGAATACAGCATTCATCTTTACTACATACAGAATCATAAAAATATGAAACCAGATAGCAAAAGTGAAGAAAAGTAAGCATATGAAGAAGTGAAGTCTACTTTGTCCAGAAAAGATTCCTATCTTTGAGGTGTTTTACAATTATTTTTTTGTGACTTATCTAGCAAGACTACTCCTTCACTACGGATAAAGTAGGGATTATCTTAGCTATCCTCGCTGATACAAACAGCATCCAGTGGAATATGTCTGGAAACGACAGGCAGACTAGGGAAGACCAGGTACAATGAGAAGTGGGAAAAAGGACCCAAGAGTTTCCAATAATATTTACTAGAAGACTGCTTCTATTCTATGGAGATAAATATTATAGGAAATCATGTGACAGGTGAATTATATTTTTTATGTACAGCTACATACACACACATACCCCTTTTCTATGCTTTTGGGAATACGCTCCTTACTGTTTTACATTTGGTCCACAAATTATGAAATCAAACATACTTTATCTTGCTTGAACTGCTTCAAACTTGACTGCTTTCCCAAAACACCCTAGGTGCTATTACAACAGCCCATTCTAACAAGCTTAGGTGTCAAAAGAAAATTGATTATGCCCAACTCCAAAAACTAAGGCACAGAATTTGCATGCAGGATGGAAAAGGGAGTTGAGAGGACTCCCTGCTGGACAGGGTACAAGTCCTGGTACTTTCCTTCCCTTCTTCACCATTTAGTTAGTAAGAATATAAACTCCAGGAAACTACTAGGCTTTGCTCAAGACATATGAAAGCCTGAAATTAACTATGAATTGTGCAACACTATTTGCTAACTGCTGGATTGTTTTATTTTCTTATCATGGTACGCTTTTGTACAAGTTCCCTTTTATGTTTTTATTTCTTACTTCTTAATTAAATGCATTAATCAACCTTTAGGACTCATTTTTATATTTCTGTATATAAAATGAATGATTTCTGAAGGCCAGGGGAATCACGTGCTGAACAGGCTTTGCTGTAATCCTCTTGGCCTTTTGCTCTATCTTGATTTCCTGCTCAGCAGCTTACTTGATAAACAGCCTGCCCAGGATCACATAATCCCTTTTCTCACTTGCTATTCAACCTTTTGCCTGAAAACCCTTTCTTTTCCAGAACCCATCCACTAGCTACTAAAATTTGAGTTTCTGCTTTCTACATGTTTCATTGGATGAAGAGCACTGTTCTTCATTCCGTTTCCCATCTCCTAAACAGGTTATTCCTTAAACTTCTTCAGTACCTTTTCAAGCTTTACCTCTCATTGTACGACTAACTGACCACTCTCAACATCTCACTACTGTATTGATAACATACTGATAAAACTTTCAGAGCTCCTGCTCTATCTTACCTGCCAGCATTCTTCACGAAACCCAGGTCAGCAAGTGCTACATCGCAGAGCTCACAGCGGAAACATTCTGGGTGCCAGTTATTGTTCATTGCCTTAATAACACGCCCAATAATGAACTCACCTGCAAAAGGAAAGCAACACCTTGAGACGCATGCAGAAAACAGACTTATCAAAAGTCTATTGCCCTTCATAATCCTTCCACTTTAATTCCACAAGAACTATTACAGTCTAACTTTGGAAAAAAAACCAATTATTCCCACAACCAGGATATCCCAAATCACTGCTGCTATCATGCTTTGTTTCCTTCCAGAGCTCCTGCTCCTTAAAATGACCTGAACAATCCCAGCCCAGGGCTGGATGTCACTGCAATGGTGGGAGGTTTGCACAGCCCTGTAGCTGTTACCCCACGGTGTTGACATGCACTGCATCTTACCACATTCCCCGCAGCAAGGAGCAAACAGCATCTGAAAGTCGTGCTCACAGTACTTCCGACCTTCAAACTGTGAACAAAACAAGAGAGGGGAGCCCTCGTGAATAACTGAACTACTCTTACGTCTTGATATTTCAGCATGATTTTCCACTGAAATGACCAATTAGTCAAGGTCAGCCAAGTTTTCCAGTTCTAGCCCCCCTTCACCCATTTTTAAACTCCTAAGGTCTTTTCTTAAAGAAATATCCAGATATGGCTTCAGCCTCATGGTGAATTTGCCTAACAGTTAAATTAATAGCTATGCTGCTACAAGACAGTAAAAATCTTGAAGTGTCCAAAGCCCTTTTCCTATAGTTGGCTTTAATTTCATTTTTGCTTTAGTTTTTTTTTATTCATGTAATTCAGAACTACTCCTCCTACATGAAGCTAACACTCACGGCAAATTAAGAATGCAGCATGTTTAAAATAATGTGTTATTCAAACTATGTGCTCACACGTATTCTGTAAAAATATTTCAACTTCATTTTTAAATGGGTTCACCAATTTCAGTTGCCCAATTGGAAAATTTTGGTACAAAATGTCTAAAAATAAAGACAAAAAACTCACTTATGCCTAATGAAATATTAAGAAACATTTTCTATTTTCTTTTTGAAATGCCTCTTACCCAAAGAGCAAGCACACAGTTTTTGTTGTTACTGATGTATAGTGAGAAGAAAAAAAAAGGAAATTAAGTCAGAAGCCCCTCAAAAAAATAGCAACAAAAGTTTAGGGCTAAGAAATTAAACATGCAAGAAAGATGGAAATTTGTACTTCTGCCAGAATTTTCACCTAATTCCTTGCATTTTAATGGAGCTATTTCTCTTTTCTTACATACAGTACGAGACCTCACCTCATAAAAAAGTCCATCTGGGAACTGACGAAAACACTGAGCACAGACAAAGCAGTTTTCATGATAGAGCTCCCCATTGCTGTTCACAATCCTCTCTGCAGGATCAAATCGAGTCTGGCAGCGTTCACATACTGCATTTGCAAGAGCATCAGACATATTACTGGAACAGACAAGAATAAGAACAGCCAATCACATGAGTATAATCATATAATCCAAATTTCCCCAACATCTATGAACACAACATTTCCATTGCTTTAAACTCCCTTTTACATGAAAAAAAAGACCAATGAGTCAATTCAGCACTGACATCAGTTAGAAATAATGTTCTTGCAACTCACATGTGGCAGAATGAGCTCATGTAGCAGACTTGTCTATTGCACACTTTTGGCTGCGTCACCAGTCTTTCACCCCATTATGTCATCCTGCTAATAGCTCATACCAAATATCCACAATTTTAAATAAACCAGTAGTTTGGAGAGCAGCAAACACAACGATCTTGACTTCTTGGGATTTCTGGTCTCAGGATGTGCACCTCTGAGGATTTTCTGATGTGTAGTAAGCACTGATATGCTACTGCAGTCTCCCCTTCACTGTAGGAATGTGTTGGTTCTGGTTGGGATAGAGTCATTTTTTTCCATAGTAGCTGGTATGGGGCTATGTTTTGGATTTGTGCTGAAAACAGTGTTGATAACACAGAGATGTTTTAGCTGCTGCTGAGCAGTGCTTACACAGAGTCAAGGCCTTTTCTGCTTCTCACACCACCCTACCAGCGAGTAGGCTGGGGGTGCGCAAGAAGTTGGGAGGGGACACAGCCGGGACAGCTGACCCCAACTCACCAAAGGGATATTCCACACCATATGACGTCATGCTCAGCACATAAAGCTGGGGGAAGAAGAAGGAAGGGGGGGACGTTCGGAGTGATGGCGTTTGTCTTCCCAAGTCACCGTGACACGTGATGGAGCCCTGCTTTCCCGGAGATGGCTGAACACCTGCCTGCCCATGGGAAGGAGTGAATGAATTCCTTGCTTTGCTCTGCTTGTGTGCGCGGCTTTTGCTTTACCTATTGAACTGTCTCTATCTCAACCCACAAGTTTTCTCACTTTTACCCTTCCGATTCTCTCCCCCATCCCACTGCGGGGGGAGTGAGCGAGCGGCTGTGTGGTGCTCAGTTGCTGGCTGGGGTTGAACCACAAGGAATTAATAGGGCATTTCCCCCTCTACCCAGCAGCTTATGTGCACAAGATTCACTGGAAAATAACTGCATACAATGCCTCAGTCTTCCTGACAAATTAGTTGAAACTGTCAAAGTGTTAAAAAGGTATGGGAAGAGAGAAGTCTCTCTGGCTGGCTTGGCAAATACATCAGCTTCATTTCCTCAGAAAGTGAGGCTAAAAAAAACCCCAAAGCCACACTCACAAATCGTGTAAAGGACGTTTCTTCTGTCTCCCCCAAAATGTGGAACGACCCTAACCTCTTTCACAGAATTTTCAAGCTTGCCATCATGGTAATCTAAGTTCTCTATATACTAACAAAATGCAGTTTTAAGATCATATATCGCATGTCCAAACACGGAGGGAAAAATTTTAAGGAAAGAGTCTCAGTTTCTTATTGCAATGCGATCTTTCTTTTAACCACCAGACTATCCAATAATGTACAAATTCAATACTGTTACACTTTTAGATACAGAAAAACTATTTTACGCCTTCTGGGCACCTTCTGAATTCCCTGATTGGAAAGACAGCAGTTTTATAGGTGGGAGTATAAAAAATTTCCAGCGTGTTAAAAATCTCTGGAACATTTGTGTAGTAGTTTTCCTGAAGCACATAACGTACACATAAAATGAAAGATAGCTTGGTTTAAAAGGTTTTTTCTTTCTTTTTATATTCAAAGCTACTTTGAACTGAATTTCCATTGTAAGTATGATTCTACAACCTGACATGCTACTTTCCACACCTCTTCATAGAGAACAGTAATTCAATAAGCATGTTCCAGTAGCAGAAGATTCTCTTTCCTCTGGTCAGATACACCCCTACAAAAACACACCACCATTTGTATGCCAGGGCTTTGTGCTCCAAGTGCAACTAGAACGAGCAGGCAGCAGTGCAGGCAGCAGCCTCATACTCCTGAGGCAACAAAACCAGCCCTGTGCTTCAGCTGGCTCAGCTGAGCCAAATGTATTGCATCTGTAGCCTGTACAAATATCCTACGCTGTGACCTGGAGTGACCGCTCAGTAAAAATATACTTTCTTTCTGCCACTGCAATTCCAAGGGTAGCAAAGACCAAGCAAGCTGGTAACAATTTCAAGAATGGAGTACCGATTTAGCAGAAATTTGTTACAACTTATTTCCTTATTGCAGTATGAAGGAGCTTTAAAAAACAGACATGGACCGGAATTATCGACAAGCAGGAAATTCTGTAATTTCATAAACTAGACATCATAGGTTAAAGAAACATTTTTATCCTGACAGAGAACCAAAGGAATAGGTCAACACAGAAACATCAGTGTTCGCAGCAAAGCCGAGAGACCTAATCAGCCTAGTTTTCAATCACCACTCTCTCAGTTACATCATGCAAATGTGTACCAGGACTTGAAAATATAATCTCCCCATCAAGTATTTTTTCCCTCTTGAAAAATTTGATGCCTGAATTCCAAGACTTGAGCTAGCCAATAGCCAAGATTAAGAAAGCCTCATGTCAATATCAGTAAAAAAGCTCCTCTGGGTTACGGAAGAAAATCAGGCAAAATGGCGTTCCAGTGAGTCTCAGTTTCCTACACAACAGCAAGTATTACACCCTACACACTAACAACAAAGCATGATCAAAGGTTGTGTTTGTTGTTTTTTTTGCTTTATAAACATGAAATCAACATTTTTAAAAATCCTGATTTTTTTTTCTTTCTCTAAACGACCTTTAACAGCACTCTAGGGAAGGAATAGCACCCATCACTGCCATTCATTACCAACTACCTGCTGGCTGAACTCTGCAAGAACAGAGCTGCCACCTAGACAACGGCAGTATGCAACAATTACAGCCTGCAATCTGCACAGCCATGTTCCTGTATGAAACACAGTGCAAGTTCACAAGTGCGACAGTTCACACCAAACACTATTGAATATACTTATCCCGGGAGAGATTCTGACGCAAGTCCCATGGCTGTGTTGGTGAGAAAGATAACAAAGACGTAGGGACTCACTCATAAGAATAAGGCTTTCAGGAGCCTCCATTCTGAAACCAGCATTTGAGAGCTGTCAAGGCAGAGTAACCCCACAGTAAATCCTAACTTCTAAACAATAAAAAAATCTATTGGGAAATTGAAATTCCTACTGAAAGTCAAACACACTGTTGTTCTGTGTCCTCACTGTCTTCCCTTAGCATGAAGTACAACTTTGGATTTAATTTTTAACTCTCAAAAAATTAATTTACCTCATTCATTTGCAAAACCAAGAGAATATCAAGAGTCCCAAGAGTTTATTTACCGTTCTGCTGATGCATGATGATGCAAAAGGTCCAACTCGTAGCTATGGAATTTTGCTCAAGATATTCCAATACTGTTTTAACAACAGAATATGATACGCAGCAAAAAATCACTAATGATTTTGCAAAACAGCATAGAACAAGCACTTCAAAGACTTGGAAATGGAAAACGTTGAGCTAGAAGAACTTGGTGGATGCTGACAAGATTTTCTTAAAGGATAAGATGATCGTGAAACAGACTGAGCTGTCCAAGAAATGCCACAATGCAAACGAGCTAATGATTGTGACTTGTTACTCATACATGAGACAAACTGTTAGTCTAGGAAAAAAGAAAATAAAAGAACCTGTACACAAAATAACACAGCTCTCTGCCTCAACTACAACCCAGTTGAAATTTGCTGGGGAGAGCCGTACAAGAGACAACTAAATCACACATCAGCTCCTGACCAATGCGTCTCCTGTAATACAACCCAGTAGCTGTGGCTCTTTGATAATCATAGCTCGAGTTTTACCTCTCTGCCCTCTTCTTATTCATGACTTTGCATCTGTTTTTACTTAATCCGTTTTATTCTTTTACACTCAAGCTAAAATTAGCAACTTTGGCATTGCCCTAAAGGTTTGACTTTGCATTTATTCAGAAGTTTTACTTTCACGTATGCCATAGTTTCTTATTCTCTCTCAACCACACACCCCTGTGTGCCTTCTTCCTTATGCAAAAACAAGCATTTATTCAACTAGCTCAAGGTTAAAATTAACTGAGGCTGGAAGGGGGAGGGAGGACAGTGCTAATTCAGAGCAGTTTTATACAGTTTACTACACTGCCGCAAAAACACTTCTGCCAGCAGTGTGGGGAGAGGAAGAGCAACACCAAAACCTTCCTTTTGATGGTGGTGCCAAAAGTGACCACTGAAGTTTGACTTGCTGTGTCAATCGTAAGATATTTAGATCTGAATCTTTCACACAAAGGACAGTCCCCAATACGGAGTGCTTCTTTTATTCTGTTTGCTCACTGATTTTTTGCAATTCGGTAAAATACAGAATCTTCCTCTGTTTTAACAATAAGGTGGTGACACAAAGACAGGAAATGCTATTAAAACATGACCAGCTCAACATCCTGAAGTTATCCTGTCCTGTGCAAACCCCAAAAATACCAGTGCTCAAACAATGCTTCTTCCAGTCTTTCACCGTTATGTGCCATATCTTTAACAAATTATCTTTGTCAAAGTACCTAATTTACAGAAATTAGTTATTTACCATTATAATTAGGTGTCGGTTTCTCATGCTTTGACTTCTCAGAAGTATTTACTATAAAGTATCAGCATTGCTCTCAAATTGAAAAAAAAAAAAAAAAAGAAAAATTCCTTCTTTATAAGAAGTGGAAGTTAATTGGGAGACCCATTCTGTGCCACTGGTACAGGTGCTATAGAAAGATCTGAAAGCATTTTATCTTCTTATATCACTGAAGTCAGTATGGATCCATCTTCCAAAAACAGTGGTTTCACATATATTTGGGCTAGCAAATGTCATATTTTTATGTCATATTCTCATATAGATTCAGGGAATTGGGCCTGTATTACTACAGAAAAAAAAAGGGGTTGGACTTAAATACCAAGAAAGCTGGCTAAAGTGCTACAGCTTCTATACTGTTACCTGCTTTTTTAAACATTTGTCCACAGGAATC